CCAACAGATGTGCTTATGCTGGAATAGAATGATGAAGATTTGCTAAAGGTAACAGGAAGACTAGAACTGATGCTAGAGGGGAGCCACTCTAGCTGTACTGAAGCCAAAGGGCCTTTGTATTATTAGAGAATAGTTTATGCTTCTTTGTATATGGAATTCATGTGAAGGGTGGGGCAGATGTGTGATTCAGAAAGGAAAACCCTTTCTCTACGAGTTTTACTCTTTTTTTGAGCTTTCCCTTTCATTGCCACAAGATTCATTTTATTAAAATACTAATGCAACATTAGCACTCAACTATGGACACACATTAAAAATTTCTCTTTTGCCTACAATGTAAGGTCCAAAGTGGGTTTTTTGGCTATAAATAATACTTTATTTTTATTTTGGTTTCTGGACTTCAAAAAGTTTACTTGGGAGTTACAAGTTATCATATCCACCTAAGTGCCCATTGCTTCCTTCCCTTCCATTATGCTCTCCAATTCCATCTGTCCCTCTCCAAAACACCCGATTCGCATATTACACACACATGTTGTGTATTCTGGCTGTTCTCTTTTGCATTTATCTACCCCGCCCCCCCAACCCTGTCTCCACAGTCTGGTTTCTGTTTCCTGATATTCACATCGTTAAACTGCTAATTGCTTGAAAGGTTTAGTTATGGCATGTTTATATTGATTCTTTAATCAACATACACACACATGAATGTACAATCTCAGTCCTGTTTTAGACATAAAACTATGTTTTTCTTCAATGTTGATGATTGTGAATACATACAATTACCATATGAATATTATTTTATATATATACTAACAATAACATCTAATGAATTGTATAAAAGATTTAGTGAAAACGTTGTGGCAGAAATAAGTAGAGAACGTTAACACGGACATTCAAGTATTTCAACTGACTTTTATAAATAATTAACTTACTAGAAAGTGGAATATAGCACAGGCATAATGATTTTAATTGTTTTCTTTTTTGCCAGCCACAAGCCACAGTTGAGTATAATAGTTAGTAGATATGATCCAACTGACCAAAAGACCCCAATTGTTCCAAATCAACCAATGTTGGTGCCATGTTCATCTTACAGCTACTGAAGATGCCATTATGGTGCTGTCCTACCACCAAGAGCATACAAATCGGGCCCTGATGCTGGGAAAAGCCCAGGTTGTACACAAATTCAATGAAGCCCTTTGCTGTGCAAACTTTCAGGGATGAGGAAATCAGAAAGGAATGTGCTTCAACTTTGTTTTCTTTTTCCTGACTGGAAATACTTGGCAGGTAAAGTCTACAAATTAGCAACAGCTTTGATGGATTCAATAAAATCATTTAAGGGGATATTTTTACTTCCAGAAAGTTTTCTTATATCTTCCATAGCTGTGTTTTACATGGTAGTTTATATATTTAAAACAAAATATCACAAACAATGGTTAATATTATGGATGCACTGTGATAAAACCTTTTGGTTTAAAAAATATATTCTAGGGCTGGGAAGGTGGCTCAGTGGTAGAGCACTTGTCTTGCATGCATGAGGCCCTGGGTTCGATTCCTCAGCACCACATAAGCAAAAAGAAAAAAGCTGAAAGTGGCGCTGTGGCTCAAGTGGTAGAGCGCTAGCCTTGAGCTGAAGAGCTGAGGGACAGCGCCCAGGCCCAGAGTTCAGGCC